TGGTTAAGCACCCGCTGGATTCAATCCCTGGTATGGGGTAGGGACTGGAAATAGCGATCCTCAAAATAAAAAATTAAAAAGCTGGCCGGGCATGGTGGCCCACACCTTAATCCCAGCGGTTGGGGCGGCTGAGACAATAAGACTGTGAGTTCAAATAAAGCCAGCCTCAGCAAAGGCAAGATGCTAAGCAACTCAGTAGGACCCTGTCTCTAAATAAAATACAAAATAGGGCTAGCGGTGTGGCTCAGTAGCTGAGTGCCCCTAGGTTCAATCCCTGGTACCAAAAAGGGAAAAAAAAAAAAAAAGGCGATGATGTAGCTCAGTGGTACAGTGTCCCCGAGTTCAATCTCATTACCACAAAAGAAACAAAACTGGAGCTAGGGCTCAGCGGTAGAGCACTTGTGCACATGCAAGGCCCTGGGTTTGCTCCTCAGCACCATATAAAAATAAATAAAATAAAGGTATTGTGTCCAACTACAACTAAAAAATAAATATTAAAAAAAGGGGCTGGGGTTGTAGCTCAGAGGTAGAGTGCTTGCTTCACACTTGTGAGGCACACTATGTTCAATCCTCAACACCACAAAAAATAAATAAATAAATAAAATAAAAATATTGTGTCCATTAAAAAATAATTAAAAATAAGAAACAAACAAAACAAATGATCCAAGCACATTCTTCTAGCAAAATCCTAAAGCAAATGTGAATGATCATATAATCCCTTCATTTTTAAATTGTGTTTTTGCATTACTGGGGTTGGAAACCAGGGACACTTTACCACTAAGCTATATCCTAAATCCTTTCAAATTTTTAAGACAGGATCTTGTTAAATGACTGAGGCTGGCTTCCCTATCCTTTCTTTTCTACAAAGAACCCAATACTTTTAAAGATACACTTTTTAAGAGTAATGCAAGCACACTGGGCATGGTGGTACATGTGTGTAATCCCAGACACTGCGGAGAATGAAGCAGAAGATCACAAGATTAAGGCCAGCCTCAGCCACTTAACAAAAACCTATCTCAAAAAAAAAAAAAAAAAAGGGTTGGGGATATAGCTCAATGGTAGAGTGATCCTGGACTTAATCCCCAGTACAAAAAAATAAAATAAAATTGATAATGGAAAAAATTTTCATTTCCATTTTTCTATCTTCAGTAATTTACCTATATATAAAAAAAAACTAACAATAATAACACCTTTTAAAAATAATTACATTGCACTAGGAAATAAAATATATTTTCAGAATCAGAATTGCTATACAACAAATATAGTTTTGTTCACTTCATTCTCTCTCAAATATAATCTCAAGATAGCTACACATACATATAAGTAAATATTGAATGGTCCTACTTTACCCTTTTCCCCAATCTAAAAAACAGAAATCCCTGTGTCTTGTATCAAAATCATTCCACCTCACAAAATCTACACTCTACGCTGACACATGATAAGTTCAATAGCTACCTGTTGATTGGATAATTCAAGCAAGCATTTTAAAATCATGATTCTTAGCCAGATCCTAACCACTATGTAAACTCATAACGAAATTTTTGTGAATAGATATAGGATTCCTTTGAATAATGCTGAACTACTTACTTCCTTTCCAACAAAAATGATAAAATCATGTATCTTTTATCTATAAAAAGTATACTGTGTACCTCAAACAACTTTTTCTACATAAAAGATTCTGTTTGGGGGCTGGGTTTTAGCTCAATGGTACTGAGTGCTTGCCTAGCATGTGTGAGGCACTGGGTTCGATCCTCAACACCATTAAAAAATAATAAAATAAAGGTATATATTTTAAAAAAAGGTTTGTTTTCCTTTGTAGTTCTCAGGATAGAGTAGAATTCATAAATACCTATTAATATTAGAAAGAACATGTGGAAGCCAGCATGGTGGCACATGCCTGTACTGCTAATCACTTAGGAGTTTGAGGTAGGAACATGACAAGCTTGAAGCGACCTTGGGTCATTTAGCAAGATCTGTAACACACACACAAAAAAAAGGGATGAGGGGGACACTGGGGCTGGGGTTCAGCGGTAGAGCGCTCATCTAACATGTGTGAGACCCTGGGTTTGATCCTCAATACCACATATAAATAAAGGTATTGTGTCCAACTAAAAATAATAAATATTTAAAAAAGGGAGGTGGGTGGGGGATGTAGCTTAGAGATGGAGCACCTATCTACCCAGCATGCAAAATGCCCTGGGTTCAATCTCTAGCACAGAAGAAAGGAGAGGAAAGGTATGGGGGAAAGATGTGTGTGGAAATCTTCTTTAAAATCAGATTGACAACTACATGAATAATAATAGAGCCATACTTTTTGTTTATTTGTTTGTTTCTCCATTACTTGGGACTGAATCCAGGGGCATTCTACCACTGAACTACATTCCCAACATAATATATATATATATATTTATTTATTTATATTTATTTATTTTAGTTCTACATGGGCACAATATATTTTGTTTATTTATTTTTATGTGGTGCTGAGAATCGAACCCAGTGCCTCATATATGCAAGGCAAACGCTCTGTCACTGAGCCACAACCCCAGCCTAACATTCCTGGTTTTTCTGATCTTTTATTTTAAGACAGGGCTTTCACTAAGTTCTAGGGATGGCTTTGAACTTGTGATTGTCTTGCCTCAGTCTCCCAGTCCCTGGGACCATAGTCTTTTGCATTGTACCTAGCAGTCATCCTTTTTGGGAGGAGAAAAGGGGGTGGTATTAGGGATTTAACCCAGGGACACTGTACCGCTGAGCTGCATCTCCAACCCTGGTTTTTATTTTATTCTGAGACAGGTTCTTACTAAGTTGCCCAGAGCCTCACTAAGTTGCTGAAGCTGGCTTTGCACTTGTGATCTTCCTGCCTCAGCCTTCCAATTCACTGGTTTACAAGCAAGTGCCACTACATCTGGTCAGAGTCATTCTTTAAAACATTTTAGAGCTGTTCTTGGTGGTGCATACTGTCGTCCCAGCTATTTGGAAGGGAAAGATAGGAGGATCACAGAACCTAGGAGTATGAGTCCAGCCTGGACAATAATGCAAGACCCTGTCTCAAAAACAAAAAAAAAAACCAAAACCTTTTTCTTCCTTTCCATTTACTCTACTCATACAATCAGAATCATGTTTCATAATCATCTCAGTTTTCAATACTCAAAGAATTCATTAAAATTATTCTCATCATTCTGTTATGAATTGTATTCTAATTAGCAAAGATTCTACATATCATTCGTTCAGTTGTACCTTATATGATAACATTGAAAAAATCTTTTTTTTTCTTTTCTTTTTTCCTTTGGTACTAGGGATTGAACCTAGAGGTGCTTTACCACTGAGCAACATATTTTTTTATTTTGAGACACGGTCTTGCTGAGATGCTTAAGAACTTGCTAAATTGCTAAGACTGGCCTCAAATTGGCAATCCTCCTGCCTCAGTCTTCTGAGTCACTGGGATTAAAAGCATGTGTCACTGTACCTGATCAATGCTAAAATTTTTAAAGGTGGTGAAGTATTGTGGTTATACTGGAATATGTTACTATTAGGAGAGACATACTGATGTATATAGAATATCATAACTACAGTAGTTAAAATAAATGTGATAGACTGGGGTGGCACACACCTATCTCAGGAGGCTGAGGCAGGAGGATTACAGGTTCAAAGTCAGCCACAGGAACTTAGGAAGTCCCTAAGCAACTAAGAAAGACCCTGTCTCAAAATGAAAAATAAAAAGGGTTGGAGATGTGGCTCAGGGGTTAAGCACTCTGAGTTCAATCCCCAAGAAAATAGTAAATGAAATAAAATAAATGTGACAGAAAGTTAATAATTGGTGAACCAAGTACAGCATAGGATTGTTAATTATATTGTTTATTTTTATAAAGACACTAAAATTTTCAAAATAAAAATACAGATGAGGGCGGCAGATGTGGCTCAGTGGTAGGATGTTTGCCTAGCATGTATGAGGACCTGAGTTCAATCCTAGCATTGCAAAAAACAAACAAAAAAACAGAGGAATACTTTTAAAAAATCTGAATCAAAATTAGCCTTATCAGAGCTGAGGATATAGCTCAGTTGGTAGAGTGTTTGCCTTGCATGCACAAGGCCCTGGGTTCAATCCCTAGTATCACCACCCCAAAAAAACAGCCTCTATCAATAAACCTATGAAAATCGGTTTAGTAGGCCTCAACTCCTAATTCTTTATTCCTAAGGGACTGAATCCACGGGCATTCTACCACTGAACTACATTCCCATCATATATATATATATATTTTTTTAGTTCTTTAGGGACGGTAAAGTGTCCCTGGGTTAAATCCCTAATACCACCCCCTTTTCTCCTCCAAAAAAGGATGACTGCTAGATACAATGCAAAAGACTATGGTCCCAGGGACTGGGAGACTGAGGCAAGACAATCACAAGTTCTTAAATATGAACTTTTCCACTGGGGGGGGGGGGGGGAAATCAAACCTCAAAAGCACTTCCTATTCATAAAAGCAATCTGAATAGCCATGCATTAGTAGTTTTTGGGGGGGGGGGTCTAAAAACTACTAATTGAACTAGTAGGGAATTGAATCCAGGGGTGCTTTTCCACTGAGCTATGTCCCCAGACTACTTAAATTTGGAGATAGGGTCGCGCTAATTTGCTGTAGGTGGCCTCAAACTTGCGATTGCTTGTCTTAGCTAGCCAAGTCACCTGGATTACAGATATGCACACTGTGCTCAACTCCATGAATTACTATTTTACTTTATTTTATTTTTTGGTACTAGGGATTAAACCCAGAGGTGCTTAACCACTGAGTCACATCCCCACATTTATATATTTTTTATTTTGAGACAGGGTCTTGCTAAGTTGCTTAGGGCTTTGCTAAGTTGCCAAGGTTGGCTTTGAACTCACAATTCTCCTGCTTCAACCTCCTGAGCCAAAGAGCATTAGTTTTGACAAAGTTTAAAAACAGAAAACACATTACACTTAGATCAAAAGGGTTAATTTTTTTCCAGTTAACTATGGGACTTACCTATCGATGTCATCATCTCCAGGTAACAAGGGTGGGAGGGGCAGAGGAGGCAAAGTGGAAGTTTTCAAGTGTGGAATAGCAGCTGTTACAGTTACTTGAGTCTTCATAGAAACCTGTACAGGGGGCTGAGAATTTGCCTGAGAGGACAGAGTAGATGTCCTTGGATGAGTAGAAGGGGGAAAAGTTGAACTACTAGGAATAGGAACCTGACTAAATGTTGGTTGGGGAGGAGGCAGAGGTGGTTGTTGTGGAATAGTTGGTAGTGGAGGCAAAGGTGGCAAAGGGGGTGTCTGAGGTGGAGGTGTAGTAGTTGGTAAAGGAGGTGGAGGAGAAGTAATTATGGGGAGAGGTGGAGGGGTCTCCTTTTCTGGTGTCTCTGTCTCCTTTGGAGTAACAATCTCCTCTTTCAGTGCTATGGGTTTAGAGTCTCTTGTTCCCTGTGCTTTCAAATCTTTAACAGGATGCTTCTCAGAGTTCTCATCCAACTTTACCTTCCCTGTATCTACAGAATTTTTGACCTCTGTATTTGAATGCGTTACATTCACCAGTTCAGTATCTGGGGCACATTTTTCCAATTTTACACCTCTGGGTAACTTTTTAGACTCCAAGCCTGAATCCTTAGCCTCCACTGAACTGTTCTCTTTCCTAGGTAAAAATATAGGTGAACCCTTTGATTCCTTTCCATCCATTTTTGCTGCAGCTGCAGCAGCTGCTCTCTCCTTCTTTTTTCTACTGAGTTCAGCTCCCAGGCTGGAATTCAGTGGAAGCCTGACCGGTGAGATACTGGAATGACGACTTCGTGACCCAGATCTCTTCTTTTTACTATGAGAAGATGAGTGTCTTGAATATGCAGGACTTCTACTTCTGGACTTCATGGATTTCCTACTGGAAAAGAAAAAGCCAATTTAAAATGGATAGACTATTGCAATATACTGAAGAAAGCAGATAAGCAAAGCTATGGAAAACTTTCACTTTTTTTTCTTCTCCTTGGTACCAGGGATTGAACCCAGGGCACTTTACCACTGAGCTACATCCCCAGCCCTATTTAATTTGAGAGAGTCTCACCAAGTCACTGAGGGCCTTGCTAAACTGCCCAGGACCTCAAGCTTGCAATATTCTTATCTCAGCCTCCTGAGTCACTGGGATTACAGGCATGTGTCATGGCACCCAGCAGAACTAAAGTATTAAACCCATTTTGAGTAAATCCATCCAAAAAATAAATTAGGTACCATCAAAATAAAAGTTTCAGAAACCAGCCCAAATAAAAGGAGCCTAAGAAGACATGGAAATTAAATGTAATATCATGTTTAAGATCCTGGAACAGAAAATGGATATTAGGTAAAGACTGATCTGAATAAATTAGACTTCAATTAATAATTATGTTTCCATATTGATTATCTATAACAAAAGTACCACTCTAATATAATGTTAACAACAAGGAAAACTGGATATAGGCGTATATAAAAACTCCCCATAGCACTTTCACAATTTCTTTGTAAATTACTGGACATGATACCACATGCCTATAGTCCCAGAGACTCAGGAGGCTGAGGCAGAAGAATAGCAAATTTAAGGCCAGTCTGGACAACTCAGCAAAACCCTGCTTCAAAATAAAAAGGACTGGGGATGTAGCTCAGTGGTAAAGCACCCCAAAGTTCAATCCTGAGTATTAAAACAATGTTTTCTATAAATCTAAAACTATCCTAAAATACAAGGTTCATTTAAAAAAATGGATAAGAGGAACTATGTCCTACAAAAACATATTTGAGTCATACAACACTAAAAATTGTTCGTTATTTAAATGAAGGAAGACAAAACAATACAATTCTTTCCCACATTGGAAAAGAAATAAATAGCCATATTCACAAATGCTTACTTTCAGAATTTTGGCTTCAATCTTTGATAAAGTGAAAATAAAATAATAAGACTGGGGATTTAGCTCAGTTGGTACAGTGCTTGCCTTGCATGCACAAGGCCCTGGGTTCGATCCCCAGCACCCAAAACAAAACAAAACAAAAAAAAAGATACAGTCATAATCTATAATAAAGGTAGTTATATAAATTAAGAAGTTAATCTAACTTTTCAAACTAAGGAGCTATTTAATTGGCAGATTCCCGGAAAATATGTTGTTCTTTATACCCTTAATTTATGATAAAGTTGTGTACACAGTAAACAAACCCCCAATGTTAAAAAAGTTAGGATTCATAAGTAGACAAATTAGAGAAAATTTTTTAGCAAAATAATCCATTAGAAATTTTTAAAAAGGCTGGGGCTGGGGATGTGGCTCAAGTGGTAGCACGCTCGCCTAGCATGTGTGAGGCACTGGGTTTGATTCTCATTGTGTCCACCTAAAATTAAAAAATAAATATTAAAAAAAAAGAAGAAGAAGAAGTTTTAAAAAGGGCTCAGGTGGTAGAGTGATTGCCTTGCATGCACAAGGCCCTGGGTTCAATGACCAGTACCACAAAAAAAAAAAAAAAAAGTTTTTAAAAAATATGATAGTTCCTGGGGGCTGGGGATGTGGCTCAAGCGGTAGCGTGCTCGCCTGGCATGCGTGCGGCCCAGGTTTGATCCTCAGCACCACATACAAACAAAGATGTTGTGTCGGCCGATAACTAAAAAAAATAAGTATTAAAATTCTCAAAAAAATTCACTAAAAAAAAATATTAAAATATTTTTTAAAAATTCTCTCTCTCTTTAAAAAAAAAAATATATATATATATATATATGATAGTTCCTGGTCCTTTTCATATAAAAAAGGATTTCCAATCAATTTTTTAGGAACTCATAATTAAGACAAGGCGGGGCTGGGATTCTGGCTTAGCAGTACAGTGCTCGCCTAGCACGGGCAGGACCCGGGTTCCTCAGTACCACATAAAAATAAAGGCATTGTGTTGTGTCCATCTACACCTAAAAAAAATATATATTTAAAAAAAAATTTTTAAATAAAAAAATAATTAAGACAAGGTATTATATTTTTATTATATTATTGCATGTTCAATTAATTTTCTTCTTAAGGAAGAATGGGGAGTAAAATCTGGTAAATCTTTTTTTTTTTTTTTAATGTATGTTTTTATGTGGTGTTGAGGATCGAACCCAGGGCCTCACACATGAGAGGCAAGCACTCTACCACTGAGCTACAACCTGAGCCTAAAATCTGGTAAATCTATGGGGCAAATTATTTCAAGTTGAAACACCAGTCTCATTAATTCTTTTTGTTCTTTACCAAAGCCTAATCTGTTCAAGCATCAATGTGAGACAAGCAAACAGGGATATGGAGATATCATATATCTGGCTCAATAGAAGAACACTTGCCTAGAATGCAGGAGAACCTGGGTTTAATCCACAGCACTGAAAAAAAAAGGGACTGGACAAACATAATTTGCCCATTAGTCTAAAACAAATTGCTCCCATTTCAGATCAGTATTTCCCTTTATCTGTGGGCACTGATAAAACTAACATGAATCAAAATGAACAGCATATATATGTAAGGGAAACAACTCACATGACAGCAGCCATGGTTTTCTTTTATCTATACTCCTTTTGGAAGTTCATTTCAAAAATTAGTTAAAATATAGAATTATTATTGGAAGAAATAGTACTAAAAAACATCAATGACAACATATATATGAACATAAAAAATATTGAAAGTAATTAAATCACTGGGCATGGTGGCACACACCTGTAATCCCAGAAAGCTGAAAGTGAAGGCTGAGGCAGGAGGATCACAAGTTTAAAGGCAGCCTCAACAACTTAGTGAGGCCCTAGGCAACTTAGCAAGGTCTTGTCTCAAAATTAAAAAAAAAAAAACAAAAAAAAACAGAAAAAAACGCCAGGCAAGGTGGTGCACACCTGTAAAGTTCCCAGTGGCTCGGAGGCTGAGGCAGGAGGATCCAAGTCCAAAGACAGCCTCAGCGACTTAGCAAGACCACAAGCAACTTAGCAAGACCCTGTCTCAAAATAAAAAATAAGGGGCTGGCATTATGGCTCAGCGGAGAACGCTCACCTAGCGCTTGAGAGGTCCTAGGTTCAATCCTCAGTACCACATAAAAATAAACAAACAAAATAAAGGTACTGAGTCCTAAAAAAATAAATATTTTTTAAAAATTAATACAAAAAACTAAAAAATAATGTTGGGGTTGTGGCTCAGTGACAGAGTGCTTGCCTAGCATGCGTGAGGCGCTGGGTTCAATCCCTGGTACATAAAAATAAACAAATAAAGGTATTGTGCCCATCTACAACTAAAAAAAATACTTTAAAATAAATAAATAAAAAGGGTTGGGGATGTGGTTCAGTGGTTGAGCACCCCTGGCTTCAATCCCTGGTACCAAATCAATAAATAATAAAAAAGGATGAAGATATGTCTTAGTGTTTACGCCATATCCCTAGTGCAAAAAAAAAAAAAAAAAGTAATTAAATAGATTTATCAAGTATCTACTCACTGTTAAGAAAACTAATACTCCTCTTTGTAAATACTTGACTGAATATGTTTTCTACTTGAATTATAGTTGAGATAAAATACTTCTATCCTGGAGAAAATGTCTAAAACCCTAAATGTTAACTAATGCGAGATACTACCATGCATTAGAAAATTTAGATTGGACTAGGGATGTAGCTGAGTGATTTGAGAGCTTGCCTAGCATGTGAAAAGCCCTGAGTTCAATCTCTAGTACCCAAAACACTGATTTTAGTTTTTCAACATGACAATCTTGCTATAAATCCTTCAATTTTGGAACAGAAACTTTTTTTTTTTATTTTTTTAAACAGGGGACTGAAACCAGGGGCACTTTTACCACTGAGCTACATCCCCAGTCTTTTTTTTTTTGAGGCAGAATCTTGCTAAATTGCTGAGGCTGGTCTCCAACTCTTGATCCTCCAACCTCAGTCTCCCCATTCACTAGGATTTCAGACCACCAAGCTGGCAGAAGTCTATCATTAATAGGACATTTGGTTTCCCATTTGGTTATTTTAGTAATACAAACACGAGTTAAGTTTCAAGTCTATCCAAAGAAAAAAAGGGGAGAAGGGACAACAAATAAGAAAAATATAGGGAGCAAAATATAACCTAAAAAATGTACCTTCCCCCTGAATGTTTACCCATTTCAAATAAAATCACTATTAATTACTGTTGATTTGGCATATGCAAAGATGTTGAATTTATGCTAAAGCATTTCCAGTTTTTTTAAATGAAATTGTTGTATTCTGACAGTGTTTGTTTTTCAGAGAATACTAAAGGGATCTGTATGTTCCTCTACTCTTTAACTCTATAAAATGCTGTACTTATTGTTGACAATTCCAATGAATGAGGAAAAATTTGTAGTGCATACATACAAATATATTTACAAATCAACAAAAAAACACGCATGTGTTTCTGGATAAATGATGAAATATTTATATTTGCATCCTCTACTATCACACAGTGTCTTCAATTCTTTCTATGTTTTTATTTGCCTTTACTGCACTTGTTTCCATTAATTAGCAGAACTTCCTCAACTTACTAAAGAGCATTTGAGAATCTCTATTTTCTCTAATTCAAAACTGGAAGCAGTTTCTAATGGAACGCATTTTAGTGTATTATTTTTATTTATTTTTCTCAATACTGGGAATTAAACCCCATGAGTGCTCAATCACTGGGCTGCATTCGCCCCTTCTCTTTTTTTTTGGTACTGGAGATTGAACCCACTTAACCCCTGAGCCACATTCCCACTCCTTTTTTTCTTTTCCTTTTTTTTTTTTAACATTTTTTTTTAGTTGTAGATGGACACAATATCTTTATTTTTATTTGTTTTTATGTGGTGTTTTTACGAACCCAGGGTCTTACACGTGGGAGGCAAGCGCTCTACCACTGAGCCACAGTCCCAGCCCTCCTTTTTATTTTTCTAGACAGGGTTTCACTAAGTTGCTGAGGCTGGCTTTGAACTCAAGATCCTCCTGCTTCAGCCTCCCAAATTGCTAGGATTATAGGCATGCACTCTCTCCTGAGCCACAACACCACTCCCAACTTCATTATATATTCAAAAGTCCCATAATAGTAAAAATTCTTTTAATAGCCTTAAAAAAATACTCTCACAAAAAAACATGTTCTAAGAATACTTGTTAAACTTCCTTTAAAAACTATGCTGTTGTTGCTGGGCACGGTGGGGCACACCTGTAATCCCAGTGGCTTGGAAGGCTAAGATAGGAGAGGAGGCACTAAGCAACTCAGTGAGACCCTGCCTCTAAACAAAGTATAAAACCTGACTGGGCATGTGGCTCAGCTTGCCCTGAGCTCAATCCCTGCTACCCCCATCATCAAAAAAAAAAGGGAAAAAAAACTATGCTATTGGGGCTGGTGTTGTGGCTCGGGGAGAGTGCTTGCCTAGCACACATGTGAGGCACCAGGTTCAATCCTCAGCACCACCTAAAAATAAATAAAGGTATTGTGTCCATCTACAATTAAGAAAAAAAAAAAAAAACTATGCTGTTAACTGGGCACAGTGGTGCATGCCTATAATCCCAACATGAGAGGTTGAGACTGGAGGATTGCAAGTTTGAGGACAGCCTCTTCAACTTAGTCTCTATGCAACTGAGTCTCAAAATGAAAACTCAGAAAAAAAAGGTGGGGATGTAGCTCATTGGGAAAGTGTCCCTGAGTTCAATTGCCAGTACCAAAAAAAAAATCTATACATGATAATTTACAAATGGCACACTAAAGACTTATGCATTTTGTGATATATAAATTTTACCCTTCACCCCTCCAAAAAACACTGGGTTCTAGGAAATGGCATACATGCTGAAGTCTTTTTTTTTTTTTTTTAAAGAGAGAGAGAGAGAATTTTTTTAATATTTATTTTTTAGTTTTCGGCGGACACAACATCTTTGTTTGTATGTGGTGCTGAGGATCGAACCCGGGCCGCACGCATGCCAGGCGAGCGCGCTACCGCTTGAGCCACATACCCAGCCCATGCTGAAGTCTTTAGAATAAAGTGTACTGATGCATGCAACTTACTTTAAGATGAATCAAAAGATGGACTGATGAAGAGATCAATAGGTATGTGGTAAAATATATGGCAAATATTAAGTGTAGACTCTAGGTGTTATATAATATACAGGTGTTCATTATAATTTTTTTTTTTTTTTGGTAGCAGAGATTGAACTCAGGGGTACTCCACCACTGAGCCACATCCCCAGTGCTATTTTGTATTTTATTTAGAGACTGCGTCTCTCACTGAGTTGCTTAGTGCCTCCCAGTTGCCAAGGCTAGCTTTGAACTCGAGTTTCTCCCGTCTCAGCCTCCCAAGCTGCTGGGTTACAGGCGTTCGCCACAACACTAGACCACTATAATTCTTTTAACCTGTGTTTTAATTTTATTATTATTATTTTTTTAAACAGTAAGCTGGGAACAGCATTGAACTCCTGTAATTTCAGCAACTAGGGAGACTGAGAACGGAGGATCACAGGTTTAAGGCCAGCCTAGGCAATTCAGCAAGCTCCTGTCTCAAAAAATAAATAAATAAAGGACTAAGGAATGTAGCTCAGTAGTTAAGTGCCCATGGGTTCAATCACCAGGGCCTTCCCCCGACAAAATAATAATAAATTGAGATGAAAATATTAAGAAACTTCAACCCTTGACAGTTAGGGACTCTGCAATTTGATGAATTCACACTAGTTTCTGAATAATTATAACTTTAAGTCACCAAAAATTACATTGACATACAAAACACTGCATGAATTTTTTAAATTAGTGTAATTTCTTTACTAGCATTCAATGACATTATCCTCATTCACAGAATTTACTGAGTGGTACCATGTATGATATGCACTTCATATTAATTAATTTAATCCTCACAACAACTCTAGAAGTAGATAATTATTATCTCTATTTTATTCATGGAGAAATTAAATCATTTTCCAAAGGTCACAAAGGAGCATTAGGATTCCACTCAGTTTCAATAAAAGCTCACATTTTTCTTTTGTAGACACAGATGAGTCCTCAAATATATAAGGTATATTTCATTGCCTAGGAACCAAAACAGTTTTCCACAGATAATACACTCTAAGGCTGAAATTTCTAATATGCCTTTCTCACAAAAATATTGTGAAGACATTATTATCATGTTTTTAGAGAAAGATTTTGAAAACTCTCAGTGGTCACAAGGTACCATTTAGTAAAGTTGTAAAGAAAACCAAATTGGGCTGGCCATGGTGGCACATGCCTATAATCCCAAACTTGGAAGGCTGAGGCAGGAGGATGGAGAGTTCAAAGCCAGCCTCAGCAATTCAGCGAGGCCCTAAGCAACTTAGTGAGACCCTTTCTCAAAATAAAAAATAAAATGGGGGGGCTGGAGTTGTAGCTTAGCAGTAGAACACATGCCTCATTCGTGTGAGGCACTGGGTTCTATTCCTAGCACCACATATAAATAAAGTCTATGAACAACTAAAAAATATGTTTTAAAAAATAAAGAAATAATAAAATGGGCTGGAGATGTTGCTCAGTGACTAAGTGCCCCTGGATTCAATTCCTGGTATCAGAGAGAGAGAAACAGAGAGAGAGAGAGAGAGAGAGAGAGAGAGAAATTGTCCTAGGGACCAATTACTTCTAGGCTATTTAATGACAAAAAGAAAACCACCTAATCAGGTGAATTTCCTCTCAAACATCCATTAAAAGATAGAACTCTGCCTGTCAATTAGGCAATGAATAAACTTACAGGTTTGGAGACTCAGTTTACAGCACAAATGGTAGGATGACCTAAGCGAATAGCCTCAAGAGAACACAAATGAAAAGTTATAATCACTCAAGTCTCTAGTCAGGTCCAAGAAAGTTTAAGTACTAACACCAAGGGGATTTTTTAAAAACTTGAGGCAAAGCAACAGAAATAGGATCTAAAATTAACAATGCTCTGCACTCACCAGACAAAAGCCCATTTCTCTCACACAGAAGCATACAACTGAAGATCCCACTACTGGAAGTACCTACCTTTAAAAGCTGCAGGCATGTGAAATCTTTACTTCTCAAATTCTGGAGTAAAGGGAGACCAGACTTATCTACTTCAATGACTAGCCAATGGCAAAGTGTCCTAATCAAGCACAAACACTGGGGACTTCAACAAAACACCCTACCTCTGGAAGGACTGTTAGACAAAAGCTCACCTGGGGAGCGGACTTCGACTGAGAGACCGCTTGCTCATGAAAGGGCTGCTGGAGCGCCTTCGACCATAGGGACTGGGTGATCTCCCGCTGTAAGAGCCACTCCTTTCATAGCTGGACGACCGTCTCCGGCTATAAGGACTCACAGACCTCTGTCGTCTACTGTAGGGGCTGGGTGACCGGGTACCGGACTGATAGGCAGAAGGCTCCTTGTAAGGTGGGCTGATGGACTGCCTTCTTGAGGTACTTCCAGGACTCTTCTTGTAGGAGTCATAATTGCTAGAGGTATGAGATCTCGGAGGACTAACGTCATAATCTTGGCCATAAGAAGCTCCTGAGGGGCTGTCATCTTGTTTGGAGCTGTCAGACCACTTCCTGTGGGGACTCCTGGATCTCCGTTTGGGGCTGTCCACTGTTTTGTAACTTTTGGGTGTTTCCCTTTTCCGATGACTTTTACTCCGATCTTTGTGTCCAGACTTTAGCTCACGTTCTTTCCGGGTCTTTTCCTTATGGAGTTTGGATGACCTGGATTCCTTGCTGCTGCTCTTGGATATCTGTGCCTTACCATAGTCATCGTTCTCCTCATTTGAACGCTTTGAACTTCCTGATACTCGGTCTTTCATCGATCCCGACTTGCTGGAGACTTCCTGGTTTTTTTCTTTTTCGGTCTGTTTAGTTTTTAGTAAGTCCCGGGAACGCCTGTGCTGGTGGTGACGATGTTTATGCAGGCGGTCACTCCGATCCGTTCCACGACGTTCATCATTCTCCCTCCTATCTAATTTGAAGGCCATGTCGTCAGAGAAGGTGTCTGAATCAGAGCTGATGTCATCATACTCCACCAAAGGTTTGATAACTGTACCCAAGGATGCTTCGGGGGTCACCAACCCCATGTCTTTGGAGTGCTTGGACTTATGCCTCTTGTGCTTCGACACCAATCGGTGACGCTCTCTGCTGTTGGAGCTGCCACCTCCCGATGACGGCTGCAAAGTTCCAGAAGCTCCTCCACTCCCGTCCTTCTTGCCCCCATGTCTCTCTGAATTGGGCATTCCCTTTCCCCTGGCCTTAAGAAGGGGAAAAAGTTCCCCAGCACTCCAAGAAGTAACCCCCACCCACCCCCCCACCCTAAATCCACGCCCACCAAAGTGCCCCTAGAAGGTGGTGGGGAGGGAAGGGACGGTAGGCCAGGCTCCTCCTCCCTCCCAATTCCTCAGCACCCTCCTACATGAGGTGGGGGGTGAAGGAGCGAGGGAAGAAATGAGAGTTCCTCAGCAGTGGAGTTGCGAGACAACGAGTAGCTCCTTAAGTCTGCAACCCCCAACCCCGCGGAACCAGTCCTCAGGCCTCCGCGCCGGGAGGTGGAGGAAGTAGGTAGCCGACGGCCCGGGGATGTGGGGCCGACTCGGGCTCTGGGGCCCTGTGAAGACTGCGCGGGCCCTTCCCCTACCCGGTAGCCCGGCTCAGGGCGGCTTCCTGTCGCCGGGGTCCCGCGAACTAGGTACCTCACGCCCCCTTTGTCCCTCTTTCCTGAGGGAAACCCCTTTTCTAGCCTTCGCCTCGCCTCAATACCTCACACTCACACTCGCTCCCTCACACAGATCTCAGTCACACACTAGATTAAACCGAAACGGCACTTGGGGGAGGGGGGGAGGGGCAATCGCAGGAAATACCGCGAGAGCACAGCTCTCGCGATACTTCTAACTTCCTTTTCGCCTCTCCCCACTACTCGATCTAACAACGCGAGAACAGGAACCTAAACGAGAAAAGCGTCCCGCAGATTCTCGCGATAAGCTTCCACCTTTTTATTTGAGGAAAGCTTTACAGAAACAGCTAGCAAAAAAATACGTATAAACGTGAACCGTACTGGTAACTCATTGAGCCGATATCCCCAGGTTCCGGTGCAAAAGCATTTTACGGTACTTTTAAGCAAGCCTTTTAGCTACCATGATAAAAATGTTTTTAACAGGGTAAAGGGTGAACGTGGTGACATTTCAAGTCCCTGAGTATTTAAAAAGCTTCGCACTTTTTTTTAATATTTATTTTTTAGATGGACACAATATCATTATTTATTTTTATGTGCTGAGGATCGAACCCAGGGCCTCGCAAGTGCTAGGAGAGCGCTCTACCGCTGAGCCACAACCCACGCCCCCCCCCCCCGCACTTTTATTTTTAATTAGTTTTTTGTTGTTGTTTTCTTGGTTTTGTTTTGCGGAACAGGGATTGAACCCAAAAGGGCTTTACTGCTGAGCAACATCCCATTCCTATTTATTTATTTATTCTGTTTGTGATATTGGGAATTTAACCCAGGGGTGCTTTACCACTAAGCCACTTCCGAGTCCTCATTATTTTTCTTTCTCAATTTTACTTGTGGTGCTGGGGATTGTACCCAAGGCCTTGTGCATTGGAGGCACGCACTCTACCAACTGAGGTATATCCCCAGCCCCACCCTCATTAATTTTTACTGTGGGAGAGTGGGCTTTGAACTTATGATTCCCCCTTCTTCAGCCTCCCGGTGTAGCTGGGATTCCTAGTGTGCACCACCACTCCTGGCTAAGCCATTTTATTTTGAGATAGTATTTTACCAAATTGCTGAGGATCTTGCTAAATTGCTGAGACTGGCTTTGAATGAGTTATCCTTCTGCCTCACCCTCCAGAGTGGCTCCCCCAGACTTAGCCTGGAACTTTCCATCCTTCTAACTTGGCCTCCTGAAGCCTCCTGGGTCACTAAGATTAGGGGCGATCACTACCGCACCTGGCTTGTTTCCCATATTTATAGTGTAAGCTACATGCCAAGCATTTTACTTATGTTATCTCTAATACTCACAGCTACCCTGCAGGACATGATATCCTCATGACTGTTTTATAGATAATGCAATTCCATATTCAGAGAAGGTAAATAATTGAGGGTAACACAGGTAGTCCACCGAGTGCTGCAACCAAGAATCAAACATGTATCTCTGATACTAAAGCACAAACTCTTCCATCATGAGGCACTACCTCTCTGCCCTCTTCAAATCTAAAAGCCTTAAAGTTCCTCTGTTTTTGAGATAGTCCCAAGGCTCTTACGGATAATTTAGCTTTTTAACCTCACGCAAAATATTGTAACTATTAACAAGAAAAGAAAATGCCTTATACTGCTCTGTAAGTTTTCAAAACCTCAAACATGCATTAGCCCATTCCTTCTTTGCAACGCTGACATGGGACTGTGTAGGAGAAAACAAAGACACAGAGAGGTAACATGACCCAAGCTTCTTCATTCTTTCCTTCAACAAATTTATATGTGAGGATCCGGGGATATAGCCCCAGTGGTAAATGCGCATCTACCATACCTGAAGCCCTGGGTTTAATCACCAGCACCAAATAAATAATCAGGTTGTGATGGCACACAGCATGTAATCCCAGAAGCATGGGAGGCTGAGGCAGGAGGATCACAAGTTTGAAGTCAGTCTCAGCAACCTAGCAAGATCCTGTCTCAAAAAATAAAAAGGGCTGGGGCTGGAGCTGGGGCTCAGCAGTAGCGCAATTGCCTGGCATGTATGAGGCACTGGGTTCGATTCTCAGCACAACAGCACCACATATAAATAAGTAAGATAAAGGTCTATCAATAACTAAAAGATAGAAAAAATAAAAAGGGCTTGGGATGTGGCTCAGTAGTTAAGGGCCCTTGGGTTCAATCCCTGTTGCCAAATAAATAAATATTGAATTTATTAAATTTCAAAACCCTTCTACTTGTAATAGTACCCATTTAAATAGGCTTTCAAGTAGAATATAGGCAGCATATTGTACTATAAGTTATAAGGTAATAAATGTCATAAGAATGACATGGAGTTGGGCCTGGGGTTGTAGCTTAGTAGTAGAGCAATTGCCTAGCATGTGTTGAGACACTGGGTTGGATTCTCAGCATCCCATACAAAAAAAATAAATAAATAACATCAAGGTTTGTTGACAACACAAAAATAAAGAAAAAAAAAGAGAGAGAGAGAGAGAATGACACGGAGTACTGAATGCTCAGAAGTGACTGGGAGAGAAAGCTTTTCGGGGCTGGGAGTATAGTTCAGTGGTAGAGCCTAACATGCTGGAGGCTCTGGGTTCTATCCCCAGCAATATAAATAAATAAATAAAGGGCCGGGGTTGAGGCTCAGTGATAGAGCACTTGCTGAGCATGTGTGAGGCACTGGGTTCCATCTTGGCACCACATAAAAATAAACTAAGGTATTGTGTCCAGCTACAACTAAAATAAATAAATAAATGAAAATTAGGGGCAATTTATTTTGTTGTTTTGTTTGGGGTACCAGGAATTGAACTCAGGAGTACTTGACCACTGAGCAACATTCACAGCCCTATTTTGTATTTTATTTAGAGACAGGGTCTTACTGAATTGCTTAGAGCCTATCTTTTGCTGAGGCTGGCTTTAAACTCGTGATCCACCTGTGTCAACCTCCTGAGCTGCTGGGATTACAGGCATGTGCCATTGCACTTGGCTACTAGGGGCAATTTGTGCAGGCAATCCCAATAACTAGGAGGGAAGGGAACCCTGAGGAAGGCTGAGGCAGGAGGATAGCAAATTCAGTGCCAGCTTCAGCAACTTAGAGGGAAACTGTCTCCCAAAAAAAAAAAAAAAGGACCGGGGTATGAAAGGAAAATGAGAAACAAAAGACAAGAAATGAAAGACAGAGACCAGGCAACCAGGCAGAGAAGAGATAACAGGAGAGTTTATTTGTCAGAGCTGACAAAGGCACATCTTTCCATAGAGGAAGACAGGCAAAATAGGCTTGGGTTCCACAACTCTTATAGGGCAGGCTCAGCTTGGCAGGTCCTAATGCAGGTGCTTAAGGGTAGGGTTGGGATGTGGAAGTGATGATCCTTCTCAGAAATGCCCTTGGGCAGTGAAGGTTTGGGTTTGTGTGAGGGAGTGGGGTGAACCTTTCTCAAAAAGGCCCTTGGGCAGGAAAGCGAAACTTTTTATTAAACATGGAGGCTGTCACTTAAGATGGCCTTCCAGATGCTAAGCAAGGACCTTACAGGGTTGTAGCTTCCTGGTCAAGTGCCCCTAGGTTCAATCTTGATTACCAAAAAAAAAATTTTTTTATATACTATATTTTTTACTTATGTGTTATTTTTAGTTATATGTGACAGTAGAGTTTATTTATACACTTATATATTTAAATATATTATTTATACAAACATGGAGTATGTTTTATTCTAATTAGGATCCCAGCTTTGTGGATGTACAGGATATTGAGATTCACTAGGGGTATATTCATATATGTAAATAAGAAAGTTATGTTAGATTCATCCCACTGTCTTTCTTATCCCTATCCCTCCTCCCTTCCCTTCATTCCCCTTTGTCTAATCTATTGAACTTCTGTTCTTCCTCTCCCCCTTTGTGTATTAGCATTCACATATCTTGCAGAATATAAAACCTACCAAAAATAAACTAATTAAAAAAATTTAAAAGGAGGGGCATTTTAATGGGACCAGGAAGAGTGATTAGATTTTTATTTTCACTGTGTCTCCATCCCAACTACCATAAACTGAGCAATTCTCCTCTACCATGCCCTCTGCCATGATGTTCTGCCTCACCTCAAGCCCAGAGCAATGCAGTCAGCTGATGATGAACAAAAAGACTAAAACCTCTGATACCATGAGCCCCAAATAAACCTTCTATAAAAACAAAAAAGAAAATCAGTAAGCCAGAGACCAGAAAAATATTCTGAATAAAGGTAAAATCCATTCTCAAATCACTGCCTAAAATGTTCTTGTATAAAATGTTCTGGTATTAAAAAAAAATTTTAAATCTAAATGTTTGAAAAATAAATAATGTTTGAATCCATAAATTTTGATTGTAATTTTTTTGTTGTTATTGGTACTGGCAACTGAATCCAAGGGCACTTAACCACTGAACAACATCCCCTTTTTATTTTTTTATTTTTGAAATAGACTCTTGCTAAATTGCTGAGGCTGGCCTTGAACTTGGGATCCACTGGCCTCCAGCTTTGGCCTCCTGATCTCTGGGATTACTGGCATGTACTATCATGCCCAGCATTTGGTTGTAAATTTAGAAGATTAGTTTTCATGATCTCTTTTCTTTTTTGCCATGCT